TTAATTCCTTGTAACTTAAGGCATGAACCCACTTCTCCCTGAGCCACACTTCCTGCCAGTTATCTCAATAAAACATCCCACTACTGATACAAGATGAAAATGTGCAGGTTGTTTAATGGATAGCAGCTCAGAATTTGAAACTGGAGAATCAAGTTCAATTTCCAGTCAAGTATGTTACATTTATAGAAATTAAATCTTATATTTTTCAACAAATAAAATCCCATCAGAAGATTTGTTGGATAAACAATCATTACTAGAGTAAATACTGCCAAAATACTAAAAAATATAGCGTATTATTTTTGAACCGTTTAGTAAATAACAATAATAGCTCCCGTAACCACTCCCACAAGCCAGCATGAAATTATTTTCTAACCAATGAAAACCTTGTAATCAAAAAGTTCACACTTCTATGTGAAATTAGATTTAGGATCTCCCTTATGGATATAAAAATACAAGCATACTGTTTATCAAGGCTCAGAACAATTACAGAAGCCAGTTTGATGTACATGTGCTTACACACACATTTTCCCCACCACACATACAATGTAAGAGAGACAGCCAGAAGCCACAGGCTAAGGCCTTGTCCATGCACACAATAGAAGGAATAACCAACAGCTTCCAACTAAGCCTTTGTCTACAAACTCACAAATATATTAGGCTGACTGTCATAAAGTAAGTCTGTCCACACATATCACATATAATTAGTTTATAAAACAAACTACACTGCAAAGAAAATTGAACATTTTATTTTTATTGTATATTTTGGAAAAGAAAATATAAATCTTATTTCAACTGACATTTTGCTTCTACTTTTCCATCAGAAGATAACATCTTCCATGTTTCCTTTAAAAGATGTGCTGTTGTTAAATGTTTGTAATCCTGACACTCAGCAACAAAAACATGGGTAGACAGATCACAACATATTCACTTACAAGCAAACACTCTTGGGAAAGGTATGAATCCATCTCTTCCCTCCAGCTATGGGTTAAATAGTAGGTCTTATATTTGGAGAAATAATCATTATTCTCAATAACTGGTTAAAAGATATTGCTTGTGAATCCACTTAGCATTAAATTTGACTAGCAATTGCTGTGAAGTATTCTTATGTCTTCTTTTCTGTGTGTATGTGTGCATTGAAACTTGTGTATGTGAGCGCTAGTGTCTCTGTGCATATGCATGTGAATTTCTCTGCAACTATCAATGGGCATCAAATCTTCTATCCCCTTATCAAAAACTTTCATCATTTGGTGATGCACTGAGGAAAACCACCATTGGAAATTCAAATAAAAATTTCTTTTTTTTTTTTTTTTTTTTTTTTTTGAACAAACCATTTTATTTTTGATGAATGTATCAACAATTTTCCTTGTAAATTTTTTCCTCTTTTTTTTTTCTTTTACTCTTTTATTCCTCCTCCCCATTTTCTCTCTCTATCTCTCTCTCTCTTCCCTTTATTATAATTCTCTTCTTTTCTCTTATTCTATTCTCTCTCTCTCTCTCTCTCTCTCTCTCTCTCTCTCTCTCTCTCTCTCTCTTCTCTTCTACCTTCCTTTCCTCTATCTGTTTTTCTTTTTGGTCTCCATTTTTTTATCTTTTTTGACTCTCTCTCTCTCTCCCTTCCACATGCACACACACAAAATCTATATCTCACTTTTCTTTTTTCCTTTGTTTTTTTTTCCTTTGTTTTTTTTTTCTTTGTTTTTGTTGACTTTGTATTTTTCTTCTTTGTTCTTTTTTTTTTTTTTCTTTTTCTTTGTTCTTTTTTTTGTTGTTGTTTTTTTTTTCTCCCAATCAGCTTTTGTGTACTGAAAAAATCTTTCTATGGCATGTCACAGAGGATGATTTGGTATGAAATTTAACACTGTCCAGTTTTTACTAATAATAATAATATCTTCTTATTCAAAAACTTTCATTCATTATCTGGGATAGAACCCCAATCTTTTTTTCTACTGAAAAAAGATTATCCAAGAAAGTACTTCTGCCATGTTGCCAAGCGTTTACCAAGGAATTAAGAATGGAAATCACAAAAACTTACTCAATAAATATACAACCGGAATAAATAGTCTTCACTGTTTCTGGCAATTAAACTTTACTCAGATGCCAAGTGTAATGAATTTGGTCATTGGAATCATCGATTTTATAGTCTAAAGTTACTTTCAGACCAGTTGGCACCAAATTCTAAAAGTTGCAGGTTTCTCTAATCAAAGTGTCATTGAAATAAACAAATGTATATGTAAATTTTATAGATGCTGCATTAATTGTCTCTTCAATGACTAATCTAATTATTCATCCCCCCTCCACCTCATAGCTCAGTTGTTATAGAGTTGAACTTGATTCAAGAAAATGTGTAATGGGTGAGGTTTTACAGTAGTTAAGATTGGTAATAGTTTAACAATAGATGGGTCATGATATTATTTGACACTCAATATCACCAGTCAGGAGAAAGCTTTGGTCATAAACCAGAAGAAATATACCACAGAAATCTGAATGCAGATTGGAATAGTGGAAGATTCCTTTCAAAATTTAAACAAAGTCTAGGTTAAAAATCCTCTATCTGAAATTTGAAATCTCAAAACCCCTAAAATTGGAAAGTTTTTCAGATGTTGACATGACTTGCCACAAATGGAAAATTTCAGAAAGCACTGGGAAGGTTCCTAGGTGATGTGCAGCTGTTATAAGTGACCTCATCTGCCCTGGGTAGGGCTTCTCCAGCCCAGCTATGTAGCCTACCTTAGTACCAGTATTTTGTTAACAATTATTACAGCAACACCTTAATTTGTGGACTACTTACCAGGTGTTTTGTGTTCAGTAAAGTTATTATTCAAAATGCCAAAAAGTTCTGGAGATAGCCATATGGGTAGCAAAAAGAAAAAAAAAAGCATTTATGTTTATCAATATCATAGGGAAACTCTTGGAAAAACTAGACAGGCATGTGAAGTGTCTGCTTGAAGAGTTTGGCATTGGAACATATACGACCTAAGGAAACATTGAAGGAGAAATTGTTAGTTTTATTCTGAAAATGATGAACAGGAATTATTAAAAAAATAGAAAAACACTGAAAAGAGCAAAAAATGATGATCACAATTGTGTACTGATGGAGTGGATTTGTCAGCATCAAAGTGAACATATGCCGCTTATATAAAACTACCTTCAGGGTATATGCATAAGCTGTGTTAGAAAATGTTCATTAGAAGCAAAGAAAAAAATTACTGAACTACTGCATAATATCAATCATCCAATATGGCTGACAATCTCCTCACAAAGAGGAAACTTGAGGCAACAGAAATGTTGTTCTACAGAAGGATACTGAGAATACTATGGACTGAACATTTGAGCAATGAGAAAATTTTAAAGAAAAAAAGGAAATTGGTGCAGAAAGAAGGAGAATTTGACATTCACTATTTGACATATGAAAGGAAAACAGAAAGGAAACAATCTAACAAGATTGTACAAATGGGTAGCTGAACAGGGTCTGGTGGGTCGGCAGTAAGAAGACAAATATTACTTAGAGCTACAAAAGATAGGTTGTTGTGGAGAGCCATAAAATGATGCAAATAAATGGGATTGTTAATGTGTAAAGAAATAAAGAATTACAAGTTAGCCTCTTGCGATTCTATCACTATTTCCATGGCAAATGTATGTATGAAATACATTCCTGAATTCCATAAGTTGAGACCTTCACAACTATCTTATTATATTCCATTACGGTGGAGTGATGGATAGTGGCTTGGATGGAGGAACGGGAGATCTGGCTTTGTAATCCAGTCGAATCCATTATGTTCACTTACTGATACTCTTGGGAACAGTATGAATCCTCTTCTTCTCTCACCTCCCACTATGGGTAAATAGCAGGACAAACCATGTTCTATAGCCTTGGATGGCAACTGGTCTACTACAGAAAAAAATGGCAACATATTGCGGGGAAAAAATCTGCCTCGTGAGTCATGTATCAAAAGATACATGATCACCTAAGCATGTATCACACATGGCACATAACTGACTGGTAAGAAGGAAGTTAGACAGCTCCTTTGTAATCACTGTTCCTTTATGGACCAGTCTTCTAATAGGATGCTTCCCTGCTCATTATGATCTTAACTTCTTCAAGTCTAGGGTCAACCATTTTCTATACTATATCTCCTCATGTGCTCTTTTTATTCAAAACCCTCTTGTGTATCTCTAGGGTGCTCTGCATTAGGTGAACAATAGTATTAAAGGTGTTATTGTTTTGTTCTTAGTGTTTGAATAAACTTTAATGTCATAGAATTTCAATTGTATTTAGATAAAATTATTTCAGTTTATTGAAGGGTGTTTTTCTGTTCTCTAGATTATGAAGAAGATACAAAAGAAGCAGTCATGAAAAAGAATAAAGAAAAAGAGATACAAATGAAAAAAAAAATGAATTTTGAGGAAGAAATAGGAGATAAAAAAGAAGCAGTAATAGAAAAAGAAATGAATTAATCCTGACTTGGTATCACAATTTCAGTCACTTTCCCTCTGTCTTTTCTACAAATATTTTCATGCCTGACAAGCATTTCCCCTGGTTTTCTGACTACATGAATTTAAGCATGCAACTAGATTGGCATCTAAGTCCCACTCTTTTTACTGCTGAAATAGTTAAATGAAACTGCCACTTCTAATCCAACAGTTTCTTTCCTCATACTTCCTGCCTGTGGAAATCCTTTCCATTTACCTACCTCCTTGATAACTATAATATTCAAAAATTTAAATGCAACGTCAATCACCATCTATCTTCCCGAATCCCATTGTCCTTTCCTCAATCCTCCTTGTACTCTGTCTTTTCTCTGACTTTCACTCCTTGTACTTGGTCTTTTCTCTGACTTTCACTCCTTGTACTTGGTCTTTTCTCTGACTTTCACTCCTTGTACTTGGTCTTTTCTCTGAATTTCACTCCTTGTACTCCCCCTGTGTACTAATGGCATTTCCACCTTGCTTTGGGTGAAATGATCAATAAAACAAAGGAAAGAAAAAGAAAGCATAAAATGCTAAATGAAACAAAATTGAAAAAATATGAGGGAGAAGTGAGAAAATGAAAGAGAAGAAAAAAGAAAGGAAAAGAAGAAAAGGAAGAAATTAAATGAAAATGATAAAAAAGGAAAGAAGAAAGAAAGAAAAAAAAACATGTGGAATAAAAAAAAGTCAACAAGAATATGAAGAGAAACCAAAGAAAAGTTAAAATAAAGAGGAAAAAAGATGATAGAAAAAGGAAAAGAAGGATGAAGAAGAAAATAAACAAGAAAAGAAAGAAGCTAAGATAGAGGTAAAAAAAAAAGGAATTTGTAAAGAGGAGAATGGATGAAAGAAAAAAATAGGGATGAAGAAACTAGAGAAGAAATGAAGGAAGGCGAAAGAATAAAAAGAGAAAACAGGAATTGAATGAAAAGAAATAAAAGAACAGAGAGAGAATGAAAGAAATGAAGGAGAAATATAAGTTGAGACAAAGGAAGAAGAAAAAGCAGATTAAAAAGAATGAGAAACAAGAAACAGAAGAAGTATAAGAAGAAAAAAGGAAGTAATTGAAGAACAAGTGAATGAATTTGGGAAGAAGTAAGAAGGAACTAAAGAAAATATAAATAGGTAAGAAGAAAAATTAAAAACAAAAGCAAGCACCTGAATGAGAATCATCAGTAATGAATGAGGTAATAAGAAGGAAACTGAATGAGAATCATCAGTAATGAATGAGGTAATAAGAAGGAAACTGAATGAGAATCATCAGTAATGAATGAGGTAATAAGAAGGAAACTGAATGAGAATCATCAGTAATGAATGAGGTAATAAGAAGGAAACTGAATGAGAATCATCAGTAATGAATGAGGTAATAAGAAGGAAACTGAATGAATCATCAGTAATGAATGAGGTAATAAGAAGGAAACTGAATGAGAATCATCAGTAATGAAAAGGTAATAAGAAGGAAACTGAATGAGAATCATCAGTAATGAATGAGGTAATAAGAAGGAAACTGAAAGAATCATCAGTAATGAATGAGGTAATAAAAGGAAACTGAATGAGAAAAAATGAATGAATAATAAGAAGGAAACTGAATGAGAATCATCAGTAATGAATGAGGTAATAAGAAGGAAACTGAATGAGAAAAATTGAGAAGCTGTGGTAGAAAGAGAAAAACAAGGAGGAGTAAATAGGGAATCTAAAGCAGAGGAATAAAGTGAAGGAATAAAAGACAAATAAAAAGGAACTGAAGGAGTGGAATAAGCAAATGAAGAAGAAAGAAAATAAAGAGGCAGGAAGTGAAAGAGAAGAATAAGAAAAAAAACGATAGAAAAGAAAAAAGGGGAAGAAATAAGAAATAGAAAAATAAGGGAAGAGAGGGAAAGAAATGAGACAAAAAAAAGGTGCAAGAAACTGAAGGTGAAGAATAAATAGGAAAGAAAGTAGAAAAGGAAAGAGTTTAAAGAAGACAAAAGAGAAGTCTTTAATAAACACGTTTTAACACCTAAGAGAAGGTGTGAGAGAAATAGGAAGGAATTGTTGACATCAAAATGCAAATAAAAAAATAAAAAATGAAATAATAACCAAAATTAAAAGCTATTCGAAATACAAATAATATAAAAAAGAACCGAGGAAAAATAAGCAGATTTTATTAATAAAAAAAAAACACCTTGTACTAATATTTTTGTTTTATAAATCATGAATGAAATATGCAATGATACAGTGATGCAGTTGCACATGAAGAAACAAAAATGGCAGCTTGATTAATTAATATCACAGATCAATGACCATGAATGATTTTTTGAATCTAAATATGGAAGATCAAAGGTGAGCAAACGAATAAACTGATCAACATAAAACAGAGGAACATTCTCAAATTTCCTATACAGACTTCTCTGTTGCAGCTCAAAAATTATTCTCTTTTTGATTAAATTCATTGATCTGTAAAAATCCACTGAGCTATCAAAATTCGTTCAGTATAGAACATGTATTCTCTCTCTCTAAATATCATTTCCCACTTTTCATCAGTGAAAAAGTCTTCCACTGAACTTGCAGAGGTTAGAGCATTAGACTGCTGGTTGAGGTTTTACTCTAATTCTTTCTCACTCACTCTTATGTGCTATATGCCCTCAGGCAAAAACGGCTCCCCACAGCTTCATGCTTTTTGTTTCTTTTGGCAATGCTTGCACCTATATAATCCCCTGTGTGGTACTTGTTCCTCTACTCATTTGCACAAATTTGTCAGTTGCTTTCCTCTGCTTCTTTTGCATTAGGTGTGTCCTGTGGGTATTAAATTCTCCAAGCTTACTTTCCTCATTATCTGTTTAAAATTTCAGCTGTTGTAAACCAAAATTTCTTCATAGTTCTTATTCTCCTTAAATATTTTTGTTTCTCACATTTTGTATGTCATATCACCCCAGGACATGTATTATCGTGGCTCTCCACAACTTCCTATTCTTTACTATCCCTTCCAATTATTATTTTGCTATCCATTTGTATAACCTTATTTGCTATATCTCTCTACACCCATACTTGTCATCTATGTTTTTGTGTGTGTCAAATTTTTCAAGATCTCTTTGCTCATTTTATGTCCCAGAAATTTCAACTGTTTCTTAGGGTAACTGCACTTTTATAAAAATGAAAGTCTTGACGAAATTAATGAAAATACATCATCTTAAAAGATGGCTGGCTACTCTTCTTTCAGAATGTCACCCTGTGTATGAATTTAACTTTGTCGTAATGACTATTTTGTTTTATTTATTTTTGACTAATGGTTTTGTATAGGCAATACCTCCCTCAGTTACTTATCAAATCTTTTTTAATAATAATAATTAAAATAGTCCTTTGACAATAACCTTACACTATTGTTTTTTATTCTTTTCATATTTATTGACAAATTTTTATTCATTTTAACCTGATTGTGTGATCTAAAGTTATATTAATATTCCTTCAATTCCAATCCATGGGATATCCTCCAGTGAGGCATTAATAATCCAGTAATCCCCACTTGATATGGAAGGAGGTCTAGAGCTTTATTTGGCAACCTTCCTAAAGATACTATCCCAATAAAAGCACCCAGCTTTCTGTGAACTGGGTAATAGGAGTAGATACGTTCAACAATTGCCCGGCCAGCATGACTTCCATATTTATTGAACAGGCATAGAGGCTCATTCTTTGTTTTTGATTAGGATATGGTTTACTGGTTCTTTCTTCTTTCATGGCCTTAATGATTTAACTTTTTAGGGATCTGACTGAGCAGTGGCTGCAGTTTTTCATTATGAGGATGCCAGGCTATGGTTTCTCTGGTTTCTGCATCTGTCTAGTAGTAAGGACCTGGAATTCTTTGGTAGTGCTTAGAGAGGCTGCTTTGATCCCCAGTTGCATAATACTAGGGTATTTGTTGTGCTATGTTATATATAGGTAGGTGTCTCTGCATGTATTTCTAATAGACGACCCAGAGGCCACATTATGTTATAGTCTTAGCTACATCCAGGCCAGTTTGTATTGCCACTGATGACAGTGATAATTATTTTCACCTTTGACTTCTTAACAAAATATTCCCATGACAGATCTATTGAAAAGAAATATAACTAAATCAGTAAACAAAAATTCACCTACCCACCCCAATCTTTCTTTCTTTCTTTCTTCCAATTTAGGATATCTTTCAAAATGTTCTCTAGATCAATTTGCACTTTACAAAACTAATTTAAATTTTTCTATTGCTACCAATGAATGTTTCTGGCTATCTTCCCCTTTGTTGAAAAGATTCTAGAATATATATGCATGGCTTTGATATTTATATCCTGTAAAATCTTCTAATGGCAAGGGAATTGTCAGTTGAGTCCCCAGATGATTCTTTCAACTTTCATTATTGCACTCTTTTAGTTATCTCTTGTTTTTCTTTATCACTCTCCTTCTCCTCAGGACTGTAATATATTAGAATCTGACGACATAAAAATATCTCTCTCTCTATACATCCATCGTCAATAAGATCATGAATCAAATAAATCAACAATGGAATGATTCAGACTTGGGTCTTATGGTCAGAAAAGAAAAGATCCTAACCACTTGACTACACACACTCATATCATAAAACATAACTTAAAACTACTATATCTACTACTACTAGATCTACTTCCTTGTAAACAAACAATAAAACCTTAGAAAAAAAGGACAATATGACTAGATTTGGACCCTGTTTAACTCACCAGGTTCCATATCCAAATTTGTTATAGTTTCGTTCAGGTAAGATCAGCTTCTGGAATATATCATTACGAGTTCAATCCTTGACAGAATCTGTTTCATATCTGTTTCATATCTTCTTCATGTTGTTGTTCTTCAGGAAGTTGACTATATTTTTCTGTTCTTTGTCGCTCTTAATAAATTTTGTCTCTTTGTTATCTTTCTTAAACCTTGTTACACCAGCTATTTACTGAAACTCACTAGATAGGTTATGCATTGTTTGCCTCTGTCCCTATTGCCGTCAACATGTCCTGTGAGTATCAAATTTTCCATGACCTGTTTCCTCATTACATACCCTAGAAATTTAAACTACTGCTGCCTGGTGTTACAGGTGTCCTTTTTAATATGTGGCATTTGGATCTAAAAAAAAATCTACCCCAGCGGATGACATATAGAATTTGGTTCAAAATTCCAATGTATATCACCTGAGGAAGGTTGGAATGTACAACGGCCAAAACATCATAAATATCATAAAAAGATCAGGACAATAATCTGAACTATGTAAATAGTGTATGTAAATAAGTGTCCTTTTTGCTTCCATTTTCTCTAAAATGTCATCATTGCTCAAATGTTCGGAGTATAGTATTCTCAGCATCCTTCTGTAGAACCACATGTTACTTACTTTATTGTTTGAGAGTATTCTCACTCACAAACAAAAAATAAAAAAATAAAAAAATAATGAAAATGTTTAATCTTAGAATTCAATCACAAACTGCTATTGAAACATGAGCTATATTGCTCGAAGAACGGAAAAAGGATTGCATTATATTTGATGTATGCCTAATTCTTCTTCTTCTTCTTGTTCTTTTATAAGCCATTCCCTTTCAGAACATAGGCGATCATGACTCTCCACAACTTTGACCTTTTGACAATCCCTCATTGTTTTTTTCTGTTATTTATTCACTCAAATTTGTTATCCATTGTTTCCTTGTGCTTCTCTTGTGAGTTTCAAATTCTCCAAACCTTCTTTCCTTATTGTGTATCCCAGAAATTTCAGCTGCCTCTTTCTCATTGTTAGCAGCCATTTCCTTGTAGTAACTATTTTCCTTAAAACATCCCCATCATTCAAAATGGAAATTTGGAAAATGCATTTAGACATTTTCATATAATCTGTGATCCTCAAAATGCCATTTGGTTGTTTGGGGGTGGGGCAGAAGCTAAAAAATATTTAGATCTCTTTTGCTAAAGCCAAAATGCTGTATTGTCAAATGTTGATAAACATTTGAGCAGAGATGAATAAAAGAATTAATTTCGACAAAGAAATAAGTAAAAATATTTTTGAAGGAAATTCTTATAAAACTAGAATAAAAGCTTATTATTATTAAAAAGGCACAAGAAAGTCTCTATTGAATTTGAGAAAGGAATATTTTTCAAATTTATATGATGAGGTGCGATGAACCCTACCACCTTGTGTCATCGTGCACTGGATTCCATTTTGTTCTCTTTTATTAAAAATCAGAATCTTTTACATTGACAGTTTTTTAAGCTTCTCTTGATCTCTCATTTCAATAAATTCAATCTTAGAGAATTGAAAGGCTTTTTTGATATTTGAGAGGAATGGTTTTCACTTGGCTTGATCCTTTTTAAAATGTTTCAATTCAACTTTGAAGCTACTGGTTTCTCTAAACACACACATGCACATACCATTCAAATACATGATTGAAACAATCAAAAATATATTCAAACAGGTATATACATTCATAGACACACACATGATACACATGCATTGAAAGAAACACACTGACAGATAAAGATTATGCCACATGGACACAAATGTAAACAATTATGTATATATGTGCATGAATTCAAACAATTAAAACAGATAAATATTTAACTCAAATACATACACAGGAATTAACATGCAAGATTTCAATTCCCGATACAAAAGAAAAATATGAATAATATATATATATATATATATATATATATATATATATATATATATATATATATATATATATTTGTGTATTTAGGCAGCAATCCTTCTTTCATGCACATTTCATTGAATATAACAGACAAGGTGCTTTTTAGTTTTTTATACAATTTCTCATGCAATCTAATAATTTTTCTTTTCAAATGATAAATTATATAAAAACTGTCTGAATGTTCTTTTTATCTGAGCGCTTTTGGCTATACATTCAGCTGTTTTCAAGGATTAAATATTTTCACTGTTAAATAAGAAATAGTTTGTTGCATGTATGTATTTATATAATGTTTTCCTTTTTCAAAACATGGTCAAGATATTGTATCCATGTTCATAGTCAATATTAATATTATTAAGTGCTGGTTTATTAGCCTTTTTTTGCATGTAGATGATGCTATTATATTAGAGTTGTGAACAAGTATGTTATGAATAGTGTCCGGTAGGTCTCTATGAATATAAAAATTGTCCAAATCATGTAAAAGCAAAATCGGGCATTTGTTAGATTAAGCTTTGAACTGTTGTATCTTAGAAATGATTAAAGATATCTTACTGGAATTCTCCAGGGTTTTTATAACACTATTGGACTCTACTTTGAGTAATAAAAATGTATAATTACTCTTCAAGCTTAACAGAAGCATCCATTACTTCACGAGACAATGTTAGTGCCCTTTGGTCAAATGTCCTTTTGTGAGCATTGTTTGGTGTGGTTTAACAGGTCAATCTTTGTATGACACTTTCTTCTGTAAGTGTGGCAGATGAAGCTGGAATGTGCCATGGAGGCCTGACATTACATTCTCTGCTTCATTGTCTTCTGATCTCCAATAGTTGATTTTGGCCTTTATGACACCTACTTGAACAGTTTAGCACCAGCTGCAGTGATCATTCTCTCTCTCTCTCTCTCTCTCTCTATATATATATATATATATATATATATATATATATATATATTTATATTTACAAATTCATGAATTATTCACACAAAAACTAATGCAAAGGTTAATGATTTAATTGGAGAAATCCATCATTGCAAACAATTCAAATAATATAGAAAAACCTCCGAATCCGTTATGAATGAAATGATCCTTGTTTCTATAAATTTCTGCCCGTATTAGTTCTTATTTTACTACAAACTTTTCGTCTGTTCAGACATCTTCAGGACATCTTCTTGTTTTTTATCTTAGAATAATAGATGTTGTTCTTGTTTTCTCTTGCTTAATAATTTGAAAATATATGAATGCAAAACGCTTTAAAAATGAACGTTATTGTTTCAGTGGCATGGGACTTATTATCCAAAAGCCCACTTTGAAAAAAATGACAGAAAATTTACCATTTCCAATACAATTTCGGATACTTTTAAAAATTTAAATCAAACATATATTTTCGTTGTCCGTTCATTATAAGTTGTCCTCTTAAAACTAAAGAAAAACATCTATTTATACTGAAGTAAATTTTAGGTCGAAAGCTTGTAGTAAAAAAATAAGAATTGTACGGCAGAAATTTATATAAACAAGGATCATTTCATTCATAACGGATTTTGAGGTTTTGTATATTATTTGAATTGTTTGTGACGAGATGGATTTGCCATTAAAATCATTAACCTTGCATTTGTTTTTGTGAATAATTCATGAATTTGTAAATTGATTGCACGTTTATCGTAATATATATATATATATATATATATATATATATATATATATAATGTTTGTAACTGTTAATAATAACGCACCTTTTAAACCTGTATTACATTTATTTTCATCTTGAAAGTTACCTGGAATTGAAAAATAATATCCATGCCTGAAGATGAAAGAATTCATTGAAAATACTTGCAAATGTAAGTTAATGCTTTATTTAATCTGTTAGTAAAATGAATTCGCCATTAATTACATTAACATTACATTCTTTGTATGACTTCTTTATATATATATATATATATATATATATATATATATATATATATATATACATATATATATATGTTAAGAAATGGACAAGGTCCGACAATTTATTTATTAAAGACATTATAATATATATATAATATAATATTATATAAATAACAACGTTAAACATAAAAATGTCTTTAATAATATATATATATATATATATATATATATATATATATATAATCGGTGTTGAAATGTGACTTGGGTACCAGGGCATGCAACCCATTATGCAGTCTAATTGCTGAGGCGGATAGGGAAAAGGGGTCCTTTAACAAAAATAGTTGTTTTGCACTGCTTTTTAAGAAAGAAAAGTAATTTTGGTTAAATCACAGTTCATCAAATTAGCAGTCTCTGTTTTAATGTGATATAGACATTTTTATTTTAATTTTTAAAAAATGTTTAAATAAGTTTGTTATCGCTTGACAACAGCTATCAGAAAATGGTGTTGATTGATGACTGGAAATGTGAAAATTTGTAATTTTGACATAAAGTAAATTAATATTGTTTTAATTTAGATTGTTTTAATTACCCAAATGTTCTTTTAAGATAAAGTTCAACCTTTCTTCTTTGAAGTAACACCAACACCAACACTAACACATGAAATTTGAATTTAAATACTTTTTACTGTTAATTTTAACAGTTGGTATTCACTGCAATACGGAATTTTAAAATTTAATTTAACATATCTAATGAAATAAAATACATTATTATCAAGAAATTTCATACATAACTTTAAAACATGATTATGAACATTTCAAATTAAATCTTAAGGCATAGGAAGCAGGTGAAAACATTTAATCATAAAATTCAATGCTTTTACTTGTGTTTTTTTCTGGCTAAGCAACAAGCATTTACTTTACTTACACACCTTAAATAATATCATTTATAAGATTTATTCTAAGAAATGAAGAAATAGGAAATCTAAAAGAAATACAAGTACAAATGAGATAGTGAAAATCATCAATAATTAATTTTATATGACACAAAATTATTTATCCTGGAAAAAATGTAAGCCATGCATTGCTTACATGGATCCTTAACCCCTTATATATATATATATATATATATATATATATATTGCCTGCTGCCAAAGTTAAATTTTAAATCTCTAA